TTATTGGAAGGTGCTGTTGAGGGTTGGATGCTGCTCATGTCTTTTCCTTCTGTTATTGATCTTCGCTACTTGGTTGACGAGGTGTAAAATGTGTCCTCTTCCTTTGAAATTTCACTGGGTAACACTGCTCCACTATAGATTATGAAGGCTGTAGAATTTAATAATATCAGATGCAGCAAGGAGAAGGTAAGATTTTGATATCCTTATGAATACTGAATGCTCGATGAAGTAGGTGCTATTCAAGGTCAGTTAAGATCTGGTCAAAATACTTACAGGTTGCTTCTCTTTGTGCCTTGAAGAATTCCTGCCTTTTGGGGGCATTTCCTGTATGTTCATACAGTGCCTGGGAACAATATGGGGTAACCTGGTGTGCTGCATGAGCTAATACAATTTCAACAACACTGATCTTAATAGCAACCTGTAGTATTCATAAAAAGCAGGTAAATCTGCATGGATGCATCCATGCTGATGCACCCTGATCTGCCCTGACACAGCTCTTACTGAAGCCAAGAGCAAACTCTTACTGCTGGATTTACAAGGGTGAGTGCTAGACTGAGAACATGTTGGGCAGGGCAAGTTCCAAGTTTTCAGAATGCTGAATTTCAAAAATTCCTGATCTGCTGCTTTTGGGGAATGGTGAGAAATTTCCAAGGACTGGAAGGACTGGGCTTTCACCAGGGTGGACTGGAGGGAGGAGGGGCAGCTGGGGCAATCCCCTGCTGAGGGACTGCAGCACAGAGGCCCACCTGAGCCTGTCCCTGTTGCCTTGCTTCGTCTTCTAATGTGTGGCTTCAGACAACTGATTCTTGCAATTGGCCTTGCCTGTGTAACACCAATACTGGCTAATAGCAAAACATGATGTTCAGAGCAGCTCCTCCAGCTCCAGAGGGGAGGAGAAAATAAAATCCATGGAAGAAAAAAATCTTCTATTTTGGTATACTTAACACATACAGTTATCTGCGTGTCCTATATATCATTTAACAAATTGCTTTGCAATTCTTACAGGGCGTGGTATAATGACTGATTTAAAATCACTGCATTGCTTAAACTGCATTGTTCTTCATCAAGTTGAGTCATTTTTATGTGAAGTGTCAAGCTCTCTAACAAATAACTGCTGCCAGACAAATCAAGTTCCTCATCTTAAAGCTACGGCTAAATAGTTTATAGCTTTAATCTGCTCACTGAGGTGTGCAGTCTATGACAGTAATTATAAATGCAAGGAGAAATTATAGCTGAATGCTTTAACTGCATTAGGAGCCATTTGATGAACAATCATGATTGCCTGTTCATTTTCAACAATAGAGGGCAAGTTAGTGTCAGTGCATTAGAGGATTTTCAGTTCTGCTCTGCTCTTTCTTCCATTTACCACAGAATGTCAGTTGTCTCCTATAAAGTAGAAAAAAAAACACTGCAGAAGCTTTAAACTTGATGGTTAAAAAAAGACAAAGGAGGAAACAGAGAAAAACTGTTTACCATTATGACTCATTTTTTTGTTTTGCAGCAGCCTTATTTCCAATTAGTTCATTTCAGGTAGCTGCTTGTTCGCTCATCAGGGCCTTTAGTGAAGCAATCTCTCCAATTAAGTTGGTAAATTTAACGTTATAGAGACTCATCTCTGCAAAAAGTTGTAGAGAGCAGAGAGAGCCTCGGTCACCAACAGTGACAGTCAATGCCACCACCCGACTTTACAGTAAGGGATAAAATTCTGCCCTGCCTTTTGGCTTGTTTTTTTCCTTGGAACAACATAAAAATTCTAATTCAACTGCAAAAAAGGAAGAAATCCTCTCTGAAGGTATAAGTCATCATACAAATTAGTTCTGATTAAGCCACGCTCCCTAATGTTCACGGGGTTTCTTTGAAGAAGAGCAATAAAAACAAATATGAAGTAGGTTAAATGAAAAGAATAGAGACATCTGATTGTTGTATATTACACATAATTTTACATTATATCACTAAGCCCATATCAGTTAAAGGAACTCAAGAAAACACTGAAGAGGAACATAAAACAGATATGTGTGTCTTTACATTTAAGAAGAATTTATAGCGAATTTCTTATAAACAGCCTCACAGAGATCTTAAAAATAAATCCATACGCATAACACATTTTTCTACAGTGCCAACCCAGGTTATTCATTTATACTTTAATGATAGTCAACATTTTAAAATATCACCTTTAACAGTAAATTTCATTAAAATATAAAAAGTATTTTATGTATTTCTGTACTTCGGATACACTTTCCACTGTTTTATTTCCATTTATTTCCATATATTTTTATGTCTATGCCACTACAGTATTGCCTACAAGTGAATGCAGATGCGCGTGCATGTTGTAAGAATTTTGGTGTGCTTTATATTCCCCGTTTCTCAGCACTGTGCTCTCCTCTATGTTAGTATTCAAATGCATACCGAATCTTAACAATAACATGGTAAGAATAAGTAAACCCTGAAAATCCCTGTTATATGATTTAGTCTCTTTGCAGATCTCAGGAAGGAACCGTATGAATAAACTGTGGCCTCCACGCTTCCAGCGCAGCCAGAACTTGGGTAGGCTTACAGTCATAAAACCTTTACAGTGCTATCCAAAATACCCCATCATTTCACACAATTTGTGCTATCATGCATACCAACTCAAATTATAGTTCCAGATAACAGTGCTATCACTCTGTCACTGCCATTTAAATATATTTTTTCAAAGGTGAGGTACAACCTGCATCTTGATATAGATTAGAAAAGGATGAGTATTAAAAGGACAGCAATCTCTGGGTACCCAAAGGCAGGCAGGACAGTGCCTTATTTATGCAGTCACATCCACCTGAATAACACTCGTGATGTGTCTGTGTGGGTTATTACAGTGCAGAAAGCCTTTTTTTCCCCCTCAGATTTTTTTCTTTGTGCTTATTCTCCAAATCCTGAGGAACAATAACATGTTTATGTGGGTGGGTGTTTGGTTTGCCTCTTCATAATAATACGGTGCTTTTAAAACCAAATCTGAAACATTTGTCAGGCATTAAACCACGAATATGCCAAAATAACTGTTACATTAATATATTTGGCAGATAGCTTTTGTTTGATAGAACCCAAATTATTGGTTTGCTCTGATATCTCTTATGTGAAAACGACGAATGTCAGAGTCTTATTAATCATTAACTGGTGAGGAAGGAAATGAAATATGGTATATTTTTCCCAACCAACCTCCTGTAATTTCCCAATATTTTGGAGGTATATTGATTTTGAATGGTAATAAACTGGTTAAGCACAAAATCTGTTATTTTCAGATAAACAAGGTACGTTTGTTTCTTCCTTTTGTGTTGGGTTCTGATGTTGGGTTAAAAATGCCTACAAAGAAATGTAAGGATGTTAGCAGTACGGAGAAAATTAAATCCCTTCCAGTTGGACTGAATTTTGCCTGTTGAAATATGCAGAAAGAATAAATCCGGTCAAATAGAGACTGCACATACAAGATGTGTGTAAAACTTCAATCTTACTGCACTTGACTATTACACACTATAGCAATAGCTTCTATTACCCATCCCAAAGCAACCTTTTGATTAGTGGCTTAAATTATCCAAAAGCAGCCTTTTAAACAGAGCGTAAGTGACGCACAGTCCTTGTGCTGGCTGCGTACAAAGAACGTGTTTCTTAAAGCTTCATGAATATTTGCAGCAAACAAATGTGAAATCTTCACACAAGCAAGTATTCATCTTCGGAGTGCTTGCACCCTCAATTAGCCAGAGAATAGCCACAATAGCAGGTGGCGTGAGTGACAACCCACAACACATCCTTAATTTTGACTGTCTGATGAATTCATTTCCCAAATGTGATTCAAGTAATGAACATGATGGAGAAAATCTGAGTCTGCACATGATTATTCTGCAGATGGAAGCAGAGCCTGAGTTTGCTGGTGAATTTGCTGGGAATGACTAAGAGAGCCTTGCTGGAAATAAACGTGTTAGAACAGAAAACTTCTATTTGGACTTTCAGTAGAAGTTCTGCATATTTATTTCAGTCAAGAAGATTTGAGTTTGTGAATCAAGTAAAATTAAAAATGCAAAAACGGTGTGTAATCTGAACATGACATTACATATCATAAACACTGGCAGTGGCAGCACTTTGGTCGGTGCATCTTTCAGCCAAAAAAAAAGTATCAACAGTAATGCAGAAGTATCATATTAACACGTTTTGGAAATATAACTGTGTAAAAGAAATCTCAGTGCTTCCTGAAAGAAGAGCCAGCCCCCCCAGCCCACATGAAACCTCGTGCTGAAGTCAGTGGTATCACAGACTGACACGGCCACCAACGGGAAACAAAACGCAATTAAATGTCTTCAAGATTAAAAACGAAATGAGCAGAGACATGAGCAAGGTTAAAGCGATGCGCCAGGAAAGGCCACTCCCAACAGTGTGTTGGGTACGTGTAAAACATCAGCAGTTTGTACAGTGAGGAATGTCCAAATATCAGTGAAAGAATAGCTAAACTTGTAGACATAAACTTCTCAGTTATCAGTAGATTCTTGAGACTAGGTTTGAGTGTATCAGGAACGCGGGCTATTTATTATTTATTAATTTGACATTTGAATTGCCTTCTTTTCCCCCATCAGAATCAGATTTACAGATGCATTAGCACTGAGGGAGGTAACAATCTTTTGGCGTTCAGTGCCTTTTTTTTTTCCTGCTTTTTCCATTCTCACTGCAAAGAGTAGCATTCATTTCTTGCATTCCACATTGAAGTGCATAGGATGTGAAGCAATTCTTAGAAATAAAAAGGAAAGTGAGTACTGAGAAAATATTAACAAGAAGCAACTTTTTTTATATAGTTGTTCTGCATTTGTCAAGCGCTCTTCCTGAAAACATTATAAAATGAATAGGTACATGCAATTAGTTTAATGAAGCAACAGTACATTATGCATTTTATAGTGTTTTCCTACATTGAATAAAGTATGAATATTTAAAGAGGCCTCCTTAAAAGGATGAAATAAAAACTCACTATAGAGCATGCATACCTTAAGAGTTATTCTTCATCCACTTCTGCTACAAATTGTGAATGGTGTTCTGGTGACTTGCTGTGTGTTTTGCTTAGATGAAGTTTTACAGCATGTTTGCTCGCAAATGTCCGACAGCACAACTTACATTTGAACTTAGAGTCTGTGTCCTCTTCTCCAGCTATTGTTTCAGGAGACCTTTGAACTGAAACTCTGGAGATTTCTTGCTCTACCTTGGTTTGCTGCTCCACAGCCAGCCTGTTCATGTCTTTCATTTGGAAACCTAGATGGGATTCTAAGTGGCTAATGTAAGTAGATGGGGTTCGAAACTGAGATGCACAGTCGCTGCAATAAAAGACTGGATGCCCTTTGTCCATGTTTTTCAAAAATTTTGTTCCTCCAGTTTTCCTAAGTTGGTACTTGACATTTGCCAACCAGTGGCTGATGGTGGTCATTGACAGTCCGGTAAATTTTGAGATCTGCATACGCTCCTGTGGGCCTAGATCTGATAATAAATATTTACCTTCGGATGTCTGGAAGAGGCTGGAAGCAAACTGAGCTTGCAAAATGAGAAGATGCTGAGGGTTCCAATTCGACTGCCTGCCCTTCCTTTTATGCAGAGTGGAGACTTCTGTTGAGACATCTTCAAAGCGTCGGACATCTATTTCCAACTTCATAGATGGGATCCTTGAAGATGCAGCAGGTTTTGGTGTAGTAGCTTTGGGAAGAACTTTGACCATATCAGCAATGTCAGACAGAGCATGTTTTTGAGGTGGAGAAGTACAGGATTGTGCTTGAGCTGACTCAGCTTTCTTGCCTTTAGATTTGGTCAGGTCAATAGGCTGATCATTATTTTCAAACAAATAGTGCCTGGTTACGCTTGCAGGCTTTGGTGGGGTTGGAGTAGGAGATAAAACTGGCTTCTCCATCATATTTAAATTAGATTTGTGGAACATAGAAATCGTGCTAGAGCTGGGGCTGGAGTTGGACTGGGGCCGTAGAGGCTCAGTGGCTTTGCCCAAGTGATTATTCAGTACCGACTGCAGGGCACTGAGAGGGTTGACACAAGGCAGCTCTGATGAATGGTTGGCAGCAGCACAACCATTACTAAGAGAAGCTGTTGTTGGTTCCTTGAGGGCTGATTTTTCTTTTCCACTGTCCTCTTTAATTTTGTCTTCCTCTTTCAAGGGACATGGTTCTGTCTTTTTTGGCTCCCCAGAGGCTTCAGATTTGAGGATAGGTCCCCTCTCAGTCTGGCTGAGTGAAACATGCTCAGCTTGAATGCTCTCTTTAGCATAGTCCTTTTGTACCTCCTCCCTGTCATCAGTTTCCTTCTTCACTTGAGTGCACTGAGCCACGTTTGCTGAGATAGGGACGAGAGGCATGACTTTCCACTTTGGAGCTATGGGCCTCAACTTGTTGGCCATTGTTGGCCTGATTTGCAGTACTTGGGAACCCACAGGCAAAGATGGCTTAGCTCCTTCTGAGAGCTGATAAGCTGCGTGGATGCTGGGATATGCGCTCCAGCTAGGTGCTCCATTTTGAGCTTTATTGATGGCCGTCGTGACAGTGTTCTCCAAAGACTTTAAAATGTCCCCACCACCTTTTGAACCATCTTCTAAATCTTCTTCTCTGAGGTACTGGTATTTCATTGTGGGATCCAGTGGTTTCTGAAGAGTGTCCTCATACTCTTCAGTTTTTACTGCTTTCTCATCTTTGTTTGCATCATCAGCTTTATCTTTTTTACTTTCTTTTTTAATTTCAGATGCAGGAGCTATGCATTCTGCAGATGATGATTTACTGATTGATTTTGACACCGGGCTGTCGTTGGCTGGTGCTTCAGAGAGCGACTGCATTTTTTCCACAGCTAAAGGATCTAGAACAAGTTGCTTTCCTTTCTTCGAAGCTGAACTTGTGACTTTCAAGAAGTGGCCAGTAACCATCATGTGGGTCGTGAGCTGCTGCAAAGTGTCATGGGAACTTCCACACTCCATACACTTCAAAATCTGGGATTTGCAGGCCTCAAACTGCCACGTATAGCTGGCACCATTCTGGTAGCCGTAGCGGTTGTTGGAGGATAACTGCAGGTTCCCATTCTTCTGTGGAGAAAAAGTGTCTGAGAAAGACCCCGTTGTGGAATCGGGGGAACAAGGCCTGTTAACGTCAAACACGCGTTTCTTTGCTGGAGTGACCATTTTTGAAGAAATGGTTGGTACCGGCTCCTTCAAAGGCACTTTTTGGTAATGTTTTGTTTTGATCATGTGAACGCTCAAATCTTGAAGGGAATCAAAGGAATCACCGCAGAACATGCACTTCAGAACTTTTTGTGCATCTTCCTTGTCCATGTCCTGGAAAGCCCTTTTTCGAGGCTTAGAGTAGCTGGTAGGTCTGTGCTTGTCCTTTTTGTGGTTGTCATCTTGGTAGTGACCTGTTTCATTCATATGAACTGTTAGTTCGACCAGCGTGTCGTAGGCTGCGCTGCACTGCCGGCACCGAAACCTGCTGGCACCAGTGAACACCGTCCCACACATTTTGCTGCTCTGCCGGTAGAGCTGGACGGAGCTGAACAGGTTGGGTTTCGAGACAGGTCTGGAAGGTAAATTCTGTTGTAAGCTTTTTGACAGTGCGTCTTGATGCCAATCAAAATCAGCTTTGCTCCCTCCATTTCTGTTGTCGCAACTCCTCTTTTCAGAGTTGGACAACTTGAAACCCAGCCCCAAGCCTGTCCAGTAAGAGTCTGACAGTATGTTGGCATAGACTGCTGTCATTTTATCCATGCAGTTGTGTGCTTCATTCTGGGCTTTGGGATGGGTGCTGGTTTTTGGATCCTGCGGCTCTCTAGAGCAAATGCTTTTAACATCTGTCACATGGTCACTACCATCACTCAGCAGTGATTCATTTTCTGCATCTTGGGTAGATATATGACTGACAGGGGAATTCTGGTAGCTGAAGTTCCCTTTCTGCTCAGGACCCACATCATGTTCTTCATCCGTTCCGGTGTCATTGCTGCCCTGGAGCTGAGCAGTTGAATTGTCATCATCATCTTCTTCCTCCTCCTTTATATCTTCCTCTTCCTTTAAATCTTCCTCTTGGACGTAACCTGAAATGTAACGTCAATATATGAAATAATTTGTTAACGGAGAACACTGCAGTTCAAGGTTTCTAGTTTCACTACGTGTTTTCTTTACCAGAGTTCATTTTAATCTACAACTTTAATGCCTGCTAGTTCTGGAAGTGAAAAAAGCCAAGTGATGTCTCTTTTTGTGAAGGTTGCTGCATGTTATTGGCAGATGATCATAATTCTTTATAACTGCCAGAGATTCTGAGTTAATAATTTTCCTGTCACGGGACTGTAATTCTAACTGTCCTGTAATAGGACAGTTGGAAAATTCATATGTAAGAATTTAAAGTTTATATTAAAAGCTTCAATTCTACCAAATTGTTTTTAGCCTCAGTGAAAGGAAGGGTAGAATTGGCAAAGAACAGAAGACAAATAACTGCCATAATCTGCCTGGTTCATAGAATCATCTAGGTACAGTAATCTTTTACCATTTGATCACCTGAAAAAGCACTTTAGAATATACACAAATAATTTATATGTCAAAATACAACATTTGAAAGCACTGATAGGCTTAAGTGGAACTCTTTTGTTTGTAAAAGTAATGTACTGCGTACCATAAAAGCAAATTGCACTTCAATAAAAACAAATACATGTATTTCAGGGCAAGAACCCTGAAATTGCAGAACAGGATGTGACAGAGGTAGACCAAAGTATAGCACTGAAGAAGCAGGACAAGACCTGAATGATCTTATTTGAAAAATGAGCTAATTAATTAATAAGAAGAACTTGATACTGGAAAAGATGTAAATTTTAAAATTAATTAAGGAAATCTGTATTTTTCTTTTTTTTTTTTTTCTTTTATTTTCCCTCCCTTATAACAGCAGTGCATCTACTGAAGTTATGGGAGATAACACGGGCAAAAATAGTCTGAACAGCGGAGAAAAGGAGAGTCTTAAGCATGAACCATTTCCATGGCAGTCAGTGGATAAATTCCCGTCAACTCCTCACAATCAATGACTGACTTCCAGAAGTGATGGAGAGAGCAGGTGGCTCAGATGTGTTTTTACCAAAAAAAAAGGTGAACATTTTTTTACCAGACGTTGCAAAACAATGCATGCAATCCAGTGCTACAGCCAGCCACCCTTCAAAAGCGTGTTCAAAAGCTGGTTTCAGAAGTCTTCACAGGAGATACACGTTGGTGCACTCATTCATTTGGGAGCACACTCCATACTGCTCACTCGTGTGACTGCACTGCAGTGCGTTGAGGACTGAAGCCCTAGCTTTGTGTGTCTGGGAATTAGGTGAAGAAGAAACCCACAGTCCGAGCTGCCATTAGAAATAATCAAAATAAAACAAAAATAAAATAAAATACAATAAAATAATACTCTACTACTTGTAACTGTGGAATAAGACTTAAAACCATATCCTTAAAAGCTCAGAAAGAAGGATGCAGATGAGCAAGTGTTACTTGTTTAAAATTCCTTTCCTGCTTCTGAGAATGGCCAACTAATGCCTGTTTGAGGACCTGTCTTATTTTGCCATCCTGAACTCAGTTCTCCTGTGCAAATGATATCCTTCTCACAAATAAAGAGGGATGGGCAGAAAAGCTGGAACTGTTCTGATTAACATACAGACAAGGCCTTCCACGATTTTTTTCAGATGTGTTTCGATTTTTCAGTCTAGTTGCATTTAAGAATTGGGAGCATATGTGACCCCTCCCAACGGATGCTCACTGCCAAGCCTTGAGCTGAAGCACAAGCAGAGGAACTGCTTAGTGGATAAAACTGCAGTACAAGAAGAAGGAAGTGATGGTTCTCTGTCCTGATGCACTAGAAATGCACGCAAGCCAACTTCCCTGCACCATTCCTGTGGCTTTAGGCCCTCCACAGATGTGAGCTTGACTTACTCTTGGGCAACACCAGGCAGCTTCACAACCAGAGGTACAGATAACGGCTCAGAGCAAAGGACCTGGACACCATTTTCACATGATAAAGTAATAATCATACAGTGACAGAAACACTAGCAAAGAAGCTAAACATTAAGTGCTGTGGTAAATATTAAACCAACAAGTCTTTCAGTAGTGTGTTGGGGTACTGCAAACATTCGCGGCCCCATTTACTGTTGATCAGATGGAGGCAGGCACTAAATACAAGAGTAAGAATAAAATGATTATTTTGCATCCTTAAATATCCCCCCTGATGGCCAGATGATGCTCACCCTGTACCCCATTCTGAGCTCGGAGGATGCAGAGAATGGAGGGAGCCGGCAGAACCCCCCATGCATGCAGAGCGGTGACCGTGTTGCGCAGCAGCACGCAGTGCTGAGCAGGGCTGCCATGCTGCTCACCGTGCTGCAGACCCCGCGTGACAGCAGCTCTGACCCCACACCAGGACGCACCGCACCTCACACTCAGTGCAACAAAAGTAAGGAGGGAATGCAAGGGAGGAATCAGACCAAACAGACAACAAACAGCCTCCGCACGCTTTTCAGTCGGTGCGGATTCGGTTCTCTAATTCAGCACCAACTCGGAATGCTATTAACCCATCTTTCACCAGAAGGTAATATTTTCCTTTGGGTGATAATACGGCAGTTTTCTCTTTGCTGTCTCCTTTGTCCTTCTGAAGGGCTGACTGGGAGAAACAGAAGAACCAGGCAGCTGCATATCCCCCACAATACAGATAAATTTTTCTGCTTAATTAGGCATTGACATGTTTACTATAGCCTTTACAGAAGAATAACTCGTGCTGAGAAATCCTCTTCTATAGGCTGCATAACGCTCAGATGCAATCTTAGCAAAGAAAGCCTTGAAACAACTTCTTAGAAAGTACCATCAAAATTTCACAAAATCAGTGGTCAGTTCCATCTTAATAAGAGTTCTGAGCAGCTTTGAAAACACATTTTGGTATCCCACTTCTCAAATAATTTCTGTTTATTTAAACCACTCAAGTCACTGTGAGCATTTTCAGATCAGCAGAGTCTCTTCTGAGCAGGCAGGCTGTGGTACCAGAGCTGCTGTGCACACCCAGCAGTGTGTGTGTGCTCAGTGTCAACTGATGCAGCTGTTTAACAGAAATTACACTCCTTTAAGTTTGCATTATTTCTTTCATAAGCTACATATAAAGGGTGTCTTGAGCCTGTACACTCATACGCTTTAAATGCAGTGTCTGTAATGTGTAGCATACATTTTGGCGTCGTACTGATGTCCATATAATAAATTGTTGAGTGACCTGTTCTTTTCCCACCAGTTCTCCCCCAGGCTGATTCTGACATTCCAAACCTCTGAGCTGCTCATATATAGCTGTCTTATGGAAAAATGAGAAAAAAGAAAAAAAGAAATCCAAACTCAGTTACCAGATGAATGTTTCCTCCTTCTCCCAGCTGAGAAATTTTCCCACTGAAATTAAACAGGCCCAGGCTGAGATGGGAGATGGGCAACGAGAAGTACCAAGGACACAAGGGACTGAAACTTCAGCATCTCTAAGACCAGACAAAGCCCAGGAGCTTCAGAGCATTGAATGGAAGCACTTTCTGGCTTCCTGAATGGAAATACAGAATTTGGTTTTAGTGCCGATTGATCCCACGATAGCAAACGTCAAAAACATGACATAAGAAAGGATAATATTATCACATGGATAATAAAATTCTAAAATGTTTTAACTTATTTCTTATTACTTCCCACCATATCTCTGTGATTGGATTCTCAGTAACTGAAGCAATCTGCTTCTCTGGGACAAGCAGTGCAGTGAACAGCTGATGCTTTCTTCTTCAAGAGATACCATTTTCCTAGATATTTTAGCACATTTCTACAGTGTCTAAAAGAGAAGAATAGTTAATAGACATGCAAAATTTCTATTTTGATATTCAGGATGCAAAACTCCATCGCATTTACCCTGAAACTTTGTCCATCAGACAGCAGTGAGCCGAGCGCCCAGCGACGCTGAGCCCAACCCCAGCTGCCAGGCGCTGCAATGGCCTGCAATGCAATGTGCACCACATCGTACAGCTCTTCTGAATTTGAACTGCAGAGTATGATTGCATACTTTTTTAAAAAACTGTCTGATTCTGCTGGTAACTTTTCCACCAGTGGATATTATTTTAACTCAAATTTGCTCTTTTTCCACATAAAGAAACACATACATATGTGTATATATATATACGTGTGTTTCTTTCCAAGACTGGAAAATATATTTTCGGCCAAGAGAAGGGACAGTGCATCATCTTCCAGAACACCACTAATCCATGTAAAACCCATTCACCATCTGCACTTCTTCACGTATATTCTAGTTTCACGTGAAATAACATCATTAGTAGAACAATCTCACAGTACTATAAGGTGATCTTGTTTCCTTATTGTCTGGCTTCAACTCAAACATCTTTTTGTGTTTGGCAAAAGCTGTTTCCTTCTCTGAGATATTTAATGCAGATAATGGATAATGACCACTTCTCATTCTTTTTTCTCAAAAAATGTCTAACTATATTAGCTGCCCAAAGACAAATCTTAGCCTGGCTCCTTGTAGAAGTTCCCCACTGTAGATTCATCACAGTTTGAAAATCTACTGAAGAAATAAATTGGCAACTGAAGGGGGAAAGGATCCCTACTCTATTCTGTAACTCCTATATCAAAGGCATTTTGTAATTTAACAGGACTAAGAGCAGTCTGGAAACATGATGGAATTTCATGGTAAGAACTCAAATATGAGATTGAATTATACAATTTCAGGACATTTTAGATTATGTTAAAAATGTTTGTACCGAGGAAATAACTTTCTGCTAAGTTAAATGTGGAAGGAAAAGACAGAAAAGGTTTCCATTCTCGCCATGAAGGGAGCAGAGAGAGTCTGCCTCTGAGCCACAGGAGTTACAATATGAAAGAATGTCTCTATCATCTGGTCCACACATCGCAGAGGGGTGAGGTTCATTCCTGAAGCCACGTGCTTCAGCATCCTGAGGGAGGCTGCAGACTTCTCTCAAATCCCAGAAAAAGTTGCCTAGGCTCAACAGCCTCTTTCCTGGGAAGCCAGATCTCTATTGTGGATAAC